ATATATATATATATATATTTTTTTTTTTTCAAAAAGCTGTAAGTGTTTCAAAATTTTGAGCGGCAATCTACAAATGTTAATTGAGGAAACTCGTTCATTTCAGACGAGGAAGATCTGTTCATGGTCTCCGATTTATTGCTTGGCGGCGATCTGAGATATCACATCCAACAGGAGGTGGTCTTCTCCGAGGAAAGCATAGTGCTTTTCGTTGCCGAGATTGCTCTGGCCCTCGATTACTTGCAGAGTCACAAAATCGTACACCGTGACATCAAGCCCGATAATATTTTGTTGGACGAAGAAGGTACGTGGCAGCCATTTGCCATAAAAGATTCAGCCAGACGTTCGCGTTCCTTTTGCATCGACCTCGATCGATCGACGCTCCAACGATCTCTATTCCGTCTCTTTGATGGCTGCGCGAGAAATAATTCAGGAATTCGTTCCTCGGAAATCTCCTGCCTCTCGAAGTAGGAAATCTCCCGGGGGAAATGTTGAAAATAGGGAACAATGGGGACCTAACCGATTTGCAAGCGTCGCGATCGTGTAACCATCCTTGGAGAGGAGATCGCTTGTCGACGATGCTCCCCTCTTCCTTCGCGAAAATCACAGCAATTTGCAAAATTGGGAGGATATCGGTTCCACAGTTTAATCCCCTTTTAACAACGAGCAATTTTAAAATTCGGTGGAAAGCCCGAATCGAATTTAACAAGAGGTCGATCGCTTTTAAGGGAAATTTTTACAGTGCGCGTTAATTCTGTCTAGCTCGACGAATTAAGACCACTAAAATTGCAGTTTTATTTATAAAAAAAAAAAGAAGAGAAAAAAGAAATGAAAAACGTTGTTGATATATTTATATATAAGAGGTGCAATTATTGGGACTGCATTCAGTAAGTTAAGACTTAAATTACCATCAGATTTAATGAATTTCAGTTACACAAAAGTCCGTTTTCTGCGTTTAGTTAAGTCAATAGTGGACATCGGTTGATTGTAAATTACACGAAATGCCGAAACTATCGCACTATAGTTATTAGACGGGTGCAGAAGTTATTATTAAAACAACAGCCACGCCCGCGAATTGACCAAAGCATGTTCCCGTATTCGAGATAATACGAATTACGTTATGCTGGCTCCACTCTTGTGAACTATAAATGCCATTACTCTCGCTGCAAATTTCCTGATACGTACTTAAATCGCGGTCAACAGGCTTTCTATTGGTTTATTCCACGAAATATTAACCAACAACGAATTACCTTAACATGGACACACGCCATACTGAGGGACTAAAGAATTTAGGATGTAATTCACGACTGGCGGCGTGATCGTTGACATTTGTTAATCCTTCGTTTTGTCGCCAAAATTAAACGAAACGACGACAAACGAAGGTTCAAGAATTGGAACGTATGAAAGTAGCACAATGAGAAGTAAGTACAAATAATAAGAAATATCACGCAAATGAAATTAAAATCTTGAAAATAATTTAAATTTATGACCGTGTTAATAAAGTTCTATTTAATTCGAGGAATTATTTGAATTCAAGTAATCCTGGTTTTAGTTTGAACGAAAACTTTACAGTGTGCTGTATCTTCGTATCTTTGCATTTTTCATTGTTTTTCTATTACAGTAAACTATAAATAAATAGTGTAGAGATATTCGCCAGAATTAAGATATCGAAAATAATTCGAAAAGTTCTCTTAAGTTCGTTAAAAAAATTAAGATTTAATCGTTCGAGTATATTATACTGAAGAAATCACTCGGAGAGATTCTTTATTTCTATTCTGAACGAGACTTTACAGCAGTAAATCTTCATCTCTCTCTTTGCAATTCCGTTGTTCCTTTTGTACCTTTTGTTCAGTAAAGTAAAGCTCCGCCACGTTCAAGTTTTTCTTAAGACACGCTAATAAAAAGTATAGAACTATTACAAACACTGTTGGAAGAGAGAAAAAAGCGAAATAATAGCCGGTGCATAGGACAGAGCGAAAGAAGGATGAAACTCGATGGTAAGAAAGTTGAAAACACAAGGATAAATAACATCGAAGCCAACGAAGTTCACATATTAACATTGTAGAAAATGGCCCGTCGAACAATTTGTTACTCGAAATAATTAGATGACCGTCTATCCTAATGACTTTATCGTTCGCCGACGTGTCCAATATCCTTAGAAGCTTCGTGTACTACTACTTGGGGGTGTTTCATTGTCACGTGGAACACGTCCACGAACTCATCAAGCTTATGAAAATAATGAAAATGTACTTGTCTCTTTCTGTTATTCTATAAACTGTGCCACAAGTAATATCGAGGCCATATATAATATCATACATAAATTCACAATTAAAATTCAACCTCTATGGGGAATCGCCTCTATAGCGTTATTCTAGAGTTAAATCTACCTAATTTACGGTACGATCGCCACTTTTTACGACGAAAAAAAGTCGATATACCACCACGTTCGTTTCGCACGTCTTTTTCAGATATAAGAGGATATAACTGGG